AACGACGTCCATACAGCTGCTTGCACACAATGTCGACAGAAATTCGCAACCTTTGTAGCTCAGCTATGTCGATTCTCACTCATCTTTAACAATCTCGTCTGCATAGCCAGGCAAACTTGCATCGAACAAGGCCAACTTCGTCCAACGTTATTTCACAGTCTATTAATGGTCACACTGATCGGCCACGATAGCAACCCGAGCGGACCGTTGGTCACAGCCTTTCAAGTTTCCAGTTCCATTTGGCATATGCATCCGAAGTCTGAGTTAGAAACACTCCGCAAATCAACACGTAAGGTGCCCTTTAACATGCGAATGGTGGCAATTAGGGCTTTTATGATCAAAAATGGCAGGAGAGCGGAATGTAGAGGGAAAGTGGGAAAAAGCAATAAATAGGCAGATGTTTGTTGAAATACTCCAATTGTCTATGTAGGACATGAACGATTCGTCAGGCGTCAGTCGCCGTACAAACAGGCCGCCATCTAAGTTGTCAGCAATCAAGTCGCAATTTAGTCCAGTCACAACATTTGTGACTTTTCCACATCTAGGCTTATGATCTACATCTTCTGACGCATAGAGTGGATGTGCTATCTCATAAAATATTAACCGAATTTCTGAAATATGTTTTCGATTCGAGAAGGTTACTTAGGTGGCGTTGTAATAATAAATATTTCGCAACATAATGCTAAGCAATTTCATTCACGTCAGGATGCAGGCCTTTGAATGGGCTTCATTTCGGCCATCTGCAAAAACTACGCTCTGTCAAAATCAAGCACTCAATTAGTGCGCACCTTTCCTGTTGACTTTCGGTACCCTTATAAATGCAACCACATTCTTTAAAACGTATACAAAAGTATTCTTTCTTGCAGTTATTTGGTAGTAAATTGTGTCTGCCTACAATCATCTGCTATGAGAGAGAGTACCTTTCGGTTTTTAAAAACGTGAATGCTTTTTGCCTCACCTGCCATTATGCTTGGACTATGGGTTTCCAATCCCCACATTTCTCCATGCTGTTTGGAAAACCTCATATAGTACGCACTAAATTGTCCAACAGATGTGGACCAGGTTGTATGCTTTATTAGTAACATCAATAAACGCACTGGTGCGATGATGTATGAATGGCTATTTCACGGCAATAAAAACCCGTAGTAAAAAAACTTTATAAAACCGGCATATACATTATTCGTGAGGGTAACAATCGGAAGATGACACCCAAAAAATCCGCCTAACCAAAATAGCCTGTCTTACGGGACAGGTGGTAATAGGGGTTTTATGGGTGGTGGTTGGTCGGGATGTACGATACTAGCCGACAGTAAGCCTTATTTGAACTGGTGAATGATCGAAGTTGGGCCGCTCACCGTTCCGTTATTACAAAATGGGTCGCCATAGGCAGTATAGTGGTAACGGACGAGTGGAAGGCGTACAATCGTCTCCCCTCAGAAGGTTATCTACATTTCTCTGTTAACTACTCAAAGAACTTAAAGGACCCTACCACCGGACGGCACACCAAGGTCATTGAGGCAGACTGGAGTAGACTGAAAAGGAAACTCCACGAGGGAGGCCCTGTATGTGCTCAAGCTGTGTGGGCCCACATAGATGAAGTGCAGTATCGTCTTTGGTTTGGCCTGACTGCCATGCCTTTGACAGATGCCTGGGAACTGTTCCTGTCCCATGTTGTGCAGACTTATCCAATTTAAAAGTGATTTTGTTTTGTAATAAACTGCCATAATGCTTATGTATGCCGTACATTCAGATGTACATGTGTAACGATGGGAAAGGTTGGGTAACAGCGACCATCGTCCATGTAACCTCCTGCGATGTTCGTTCGGCCAGCCCATGTTAGGCCGTCGGGGAAAGTCCAAGTAGTACGTGAAAGTAGGCCTGCAACCGCTAATATAGCCTGAAGGCGTTTGAGTCCACTGTTAAAGGTATTATTTCTAGGTAACGGATTTTTTGGGTGCCATCTCTTGATTGGTACCTTCGTGAGTACCACATTTGAAGAAGACGTAACTTGCTACAAAATGAGTATAAAAAGAGTACTTTATGCATGTTTTCTATAAACATTATGATTCTCTTCAAGGAGTCGCTTTGTCCTCTACAGAATATTGGCCACATGCGCCAAAACTTTATATTTCCATGTTCATACCACTTTTATATTACCGCAAAACACCAAAGTGCTTCACAAATCCTGACTATTAAATGCGATACTACCGCCGCTGCAGCATATAGCAGGCCGGAAGCATACCCCCTACGAGACGCACCCTTACGCTCCAGATAAAAGCAGACAGAACGGTTCTCGACCTCCCCGTTGTCTACGACCATACTGACGACCTGTTTGTGGCTAGCATTTCTGCCACAGAGCACATGGAGCATCCTGTCCCGGTGCTTAACCGTCTTCAACGATTTCGCCCTGTTCTCAGTCCGTCCAAGCGTGTCTTCATTATTCCCTCCTCCGGGTCTCTCGAACACAATGTCTGCTCATCCGACATCCACCTCCTCCCTTCGAAGGTCGTGGACATCTGGGAATTCTCGCAACCTCCTCCCATCCCCACCTTTCAAACTTCCGAGCATCAACTGCAGCGTCTTCTTGACGTGGTGCACTTTCATGCCTGGTTCTCCCGAACTGCGTTCACATCATTCTGACGCTAACGAACTTCCCCTTCGGTTCCAAAGGTTCGCCCACGCACTCTGTAATCACTCTTGATGCTTTTGCAAGGTGAAGACTGCCCTGGCATACACCAGCCTCC